GGAAGGACTTTAAAGCTTTTGTAGTCTACTTACATTTCCATGGACTTACTTTCCTTTGTAGCACGTCTAACCAAGTGGTAGTCTTTTTTATGTTTGAATATTCACTGATGGAAACTCACTAACCTCAAGATTGTCATTTAAGGATGGCTCTTATTTTTATATTGAACTGAAATCTCTACATAGTTTCTCCCTTTTTATTGTAATTCTCCTTAGAGCATATGGAAAAAGTCTAAGCCATTTTTTATGTGCTACCTCTTTAGATCTTCAAAGCTGGTTTCTTATCCTTTTTGAATCTTGTCTTCTTTAGCTTAGACATTTCAAGATTCTTCAGTACTTTTGTTATTTTGGTCGATCTGTTGAACATCTTTGTTATGGAGTCCAGATCTGTATGAGGTAATCTACTGTGTAACTTAATCTGTGTAAGGGACTATTCATTGTCTAATTGTAGATGTCTTTAATGAACTCCAGGGTCAGCTTATTTGGCAGTCACAGTGCATTATAGGCTATTAATTAAAACCTTTTTAAATTTTATTTTTTATTTCATTCTTTGCCTGTACATTTAGATTTTTAGATACAAATAGCATTCTTTGCATTTATCTGTACTAGATTTAATCAGGCACACCTGTGTTTTAGTTATGTACCACTACTTACTAACTTTGGGATCCTGGCTAATAACAATTTTCTGTGTCACACTTCCCTCATCTGTGAAATGGGGGTAATCACAGTCCCATATATGTATACCAAGCTCTGTGTGTGTGTGTTCTTGATCCTTCTAATTCACAATTTTGTCCATAAAACCATTTCCATCTATGTATACCAGTCTTTCTTTAGCCCAGGAAAGCTTTATGGTATCTTTGGCCACTGGTTTTTGTTTGGGCAATACTTATTATTTGTACGCTTGTCCTCAGTTCTTCTTTTCTCTAATTGTTTTAGTATTTGTTCCTCCCCTTCTATTTGTTTGTTTCCTATGTTTCCAATTTGACTTTTGAAGTATCATTTCTGTCTTGTCCTTCCTCTAACCTGTAGTTCCCTTGTAGTCTAATTAGCTAATCCATTGTCCCTTTCCTCATCATTTATTTTTCTATTTAGTTTATCCCATTTCTTGCATTTCTGTTGTGCCTGTTCCTTCTTTATCATTGTATCTTCCTCTTTCATTGACTATATTTTCTTGGTTCTGTTGAGAATACTGGATAGTTTCCTGAAATTTTCATATGGATTCTCTAGATCGAATTCATTTTCAGAGCTAGGCTATTCCTCTCATGTTGTTTCCTTTCCTTAGACAATATTTTTTCATAGGCCTCATATAGGTTTTCTCACCATATATATCATTGAAAAAGGCAAGAACTGTCCAGACTAAATAAACAAACTAGGTGATAAACTGACTTTAGTCCTAATTTACCTCCCCTGGTTTAGTAGTTGAATCTCTTTTCAAATTTATAGTTGCATGTCAGGTCACTGAACAGTTTCTAAAGTTTTCACCTTGTGTAACTCTGCCCCTTCTGCCTGGTTTTCTGGTACTCTAATAAATTTTGTAGAAAATATGATTCCAAGTAATTTTAGTCAACAAACTGAAGCATGCACTTTTACATTTTAAAATATGAAAAAAATCTTAATTTTTAATATCTCAACTCCTGATGCTGCTGACATAGAAGAAACTTAATCTTAGTAAATTTGAGAATTTTTCCCCTTCTCCTGGGGTTGTATCTAAATTTTCGGGTTCCAGTATAATACCATGTGGTAGAGAAGGATATTTGTTTTTCAGTCATCTATCCATTGAGGTTTTCATTGTTTCAGTTAGTATTTAGAAACTGGTGCACTTAGGTTGTGCTGAGTCATCCCTCATTTCTGTTCTCAGGGCCCATTCAGGTCTGCTGATTCTTTGTTCTTTATCACACTATATGCTGGAACCCACAGAGTATGGGGACAAGGGAAACTGAAGCTATCTAAGGCCCTATCTGTCTAGATATATTTCACAGCCATTTCTTCACAGGTTTTGTCATCTTCCTAGAGCCCTACTGAAGACAAAAAAACAAAACCAAAAACCCAGTACAGTCTCATTCTCCTCTTGGTTTGCCCAAACTATCTGGGGTTTTGGTGGTCCTCAACCCTGAGGCTTAGTCTTGTGAATGTAGAGGGCTCCAGAACCTCTTCTGAAGTATCTGCCAGAATCTACTAAGCTCTCTTAGCTTCCCCTTTTATTTTTTATTTAAAAAAAAGATTTATTTATTTATTTGAGAGAGAGAGCGCACATGAATGGGAGGGGCAGAGGGAGAGAGAATCTCAAGCAGACTCTACTCCGAGCACAGAAGCCGACTTGGGGCTCGATTCCAGTACCCTGAGATTGTGACTTGAGCTGAAACCAACAGTCGGATGCTTAACCAACTGCACCACCACCCAGGCACCTTGGCTTCCCCTTTTAAAGGTTTCTTTCCACAAATTAGTAAATATTTCTTTGGTGTAGAGGTTAAGAACCTTCGTTCTGACTCATATATTTAAAGAATCTTTAGTTTATGTTCTGAATCCTTCCCCTAACCCCTAACACTGGTCTTTTGAAACCCAAATATTTTTTTTTTCTTTGCTTTTTGTCAAATCAGCAGCAAATGCTGAAAGTTCTAGTTGCCTGGACTGGGACAAAATAAATGGGTTGGGGGAGGAGGGGAGGGGGGAGAGGGAGGGAAGGTAGTAGGGAGAAGGTAGTGAGTGAGGTGGAGGGTGGGGAGATAGGTAGATAGATAGATCAATGGATAGATAAATATCAAGAAGAAAAATGAAAAATGTAGGCTTATATTTTTACAATACTGCACATCACCACATTGGAACACTTAGCTACCAGAGTTCCTTTGTGCTACCTGTAGGACCTTGCTTCTGACAACTGTAAAGTACATCTATATCCATTTATTTTCTTTTCTGTAGTTTTATTTATCCAATTTCCAGGACTTTCATATTAGAAGAATGGCTGGAGGGTATTTTGAAAATACTGATGCTATTGGTAATGGGAAGATTGGAGATGTTGGCAATAGAATGCAGTTCTTTGGCACAAATAATTTCTGAGGATTAGAGAAGATGTATTGCAAAGTGTGTTAGGTAATGAATGAAACGGAATAGATGGAGAAGTATGAACTATCTTTCTGTTCAAATGCTGATATGCTCTGCCTTTATTTCCTTAAATTTTCCAGCCCTTTCATATTCAGATAAAAATGGTTCAGTTCCTGTTTCATATGCTGTAAGTTCAGAGGGCTCTCCATTATTTTTGAAAGTTTAGATACCTATATTCTTCTGAAGTTAGTTCATGTATCCTCTTTTTGGTTATTTGGCTTCTCATTGACAGTTGAGTCTATAATAGCTGCTGTGTTCTTTTTTACGGCTTGTTACTGAGAATGTGGGACTGATACCCTCTTTAAATTTAATGTGCTTTGGGGGGCTCTTGGGTGGCTCAGATGGTTAAGCGTCTGCCTTCGGCTCAGGTCATGATCCCAGGGTCCTGGGATCGAGCCCTGCATCGGGCTCCCCGCTCCACGGGAAGCCTGCTTCTCCCTCTCCCATTCCCCCTGCTTGTATTCCCTCTCTCGTTGTGTCTCTCTCTGTCAAATAAATAAATAAAATCTTAAAAAAAAAAAATTTAATGTGCTTTGGAAATAAGTCAATAAGAGAAAGACATGTATCATATGATCTCACTGATATGAGGAATTCTTAATCTCAGGAAACAAACTGAGGGTTGCTGGAGTGGTGGGG